CTCATGAAACATTTGCACATCAGCACTGCAGATCACTAGAGGACGCAAGTACTGGCATACAATCATTTCATATGGAGAAAGCTTACTTCCTATGCATGGATTGCAAAAATGTAATCATCAGGTGTGTGGGTTTTTTTTCCTGTAGCAGGTACAGGTGGATGATTATCAAACCCAAATTTTGTAACAGAAGTGAGAAGTCAGAAGTGACCAAGGCCGCCTGGCAAATTCATGTTTGAGTATGATTACCTGAACTTCCCAACAACTGGCTTGCTGAGGCTCTGCAGATAATGCAACTCTCACCTGGACTGAAAACAAGCATTTTTCTAAGGGTTTTAGTCAGGCTGATGTTTGTCTCTTTGCTAAACATTCTTGGCTGCAAATCATATTTTCCTGTGTAGCAAGATTGTTGGCTTTTTGCCCACTTGGCATCCCTAAATTGTTTGAGGAGTTTTTTTGGGGGGAGGATATTCCAAAGCCTGCAAAGAGTTCAGTATCCTTGCCAAACTAGTAAACAGGAGCTGCCAAAGAAAGGCAGCCTAAACATCTAGGGTTTGTTGTTATGTGTGTGCATGTGCGCGCGCACATGTGTTGTTGTTGTTTTGTAATAAACTATTTGTTTTCAACAGCAGTGCCATAAATATCCTTGCCAACTTGCCTTGCTATTTATGCGGCAGAAGAAAGACATCTGAATAAAAGCAGAGAGGGCAGAAAAAAGAAAGTAAAAACTCTACACACACGAAGTGGGTGTACATCCCATTAAACTCAGTAGAACTAACTCCCAAGCAAATGTCCACAAGATTGGCTGTACAAGTAACAAACTGCATAACTTGCTAAGTAATGGCCATATTACTTTGGCACATACTATCTTGCACTGGCTGTCCATATACAACCAAGTTCATATATATATTAGCTTAGAAAGCCCTGAACAACATAGGTCCAGGGTACCTTAGGGACTGCCTGAACTCTTCTATCCCAGCTCCATCACTAGAGAGTCACTGGTTGTCCCCCAAGTTGGTGAGGTTCATTTAACAGCAACCTAAAACTGGGCTTCAGTGCTATTGGCTTACTCCTGTGGAATGATCTTCCAACAGAGATCCAGCAGGTGTCTTCTATATTAACCTTTAAAAGTTTACTGAAAATGTTTGTTTCCCTCTGGGGCTTAAGAAAAACATTTTCTATTATAGGCAGCTGGTGAGCTGTTTTGTTTTTGTATGGCGTTTACTGCATTATAATTGTTGTAAACTGCTTTGATTTGTGTGTGTGTGTGAAATTGCTGTGTACTAGTATTTTAATAAATAAACAAAATATAGATGAGCCCTGGATTTCAGGATGCTGAGCTAGGTGGCCTGATCCAAACAGGGCTCTTACATCAAACAGATAATAAACCAAGGTCTACTATTTATGAGCCACCCTGTTTATTTCAATAGTTTACAATTCTTACGTGTCACTCCACTTTTCAGAAAGCAGCAGCAACAGCAATGAATCATCCTAAGCCAACATTCATAAATGTGATCTTCTTAGAATAGATTGCCAAAGTATCTTATAAAGAGTAAAGTGAATTCTGGTCAAGAAAATAAGAAACAGTGATTCAGCTCAAAAATAAGTAACTGCCACTCCGTTCAAAAATGAGGAAAAAATCCTCTCTTTTATGCTCAGTGATAAAGGCAGCACACATCCGCACTTTCAGAATGACGTAGACAAAACTTCGGAGGTTCAGAGGAATGCAACAAAGGACTGGGCGTGTTTAGCAAAAAGAAGAAAAGACTGTGGGGGTATATATGATAGCACTCTTCAAGCATCTGAAAGGCTGTCACCTAGAGGACTCTGGCTACGTACACAACACTGTTTACTCTGGCCCAGTGCATGCGCATCTCTGGCGTTTGAAGCCGTGAACACATGAAGTTAACCACAATCTTGTAGTTTCTTGCGAAATACCACTGTTTGGTGCATTTTCCTTCAAACCAGCTTCCATCCAATTTGAAAACATAAACCACATCCGCTTCCCAGTTAAGCTCAGGTGTGTACACCTGAGGCAGCCATTACCTGAAGGAGCGTCTCTACCCCCATCGTTCTGCCCGGATGCTGAGGTCCAGCGCTGAGGGCCTTCTGGCAGTTCCCTCATTGCAAGAAGCAAAGCTACAGGGAACCAGGCAGAGGGCCTTCTTGGTAGTGGCGCCCACCCTGTGGAACGCCCTCCCATCAGATGTCAAAGAGATAAACAACTACCTGACATTCAGAAGACATCTTAAGGCAGCCCAGTTCAGGGAAGTTTTTAATGTATGACATATTAGTGTATTTTTGGTATTTGTGGAAGCCGCCCAGAGAGGCTGGGGCAGCCTAGCCAGATGGGCGGGGTACAAATAATAAATTATTATTATTACACAGGCACAAAAACGATACTGCATTTTAGTTCAGGGAAGGGTTGTAAGTGCAGGGAAACCAAAAGATAATATACATCAACTTAAGACATCTCCGCCCCCGCTCTGGTGTGGACAATATAGAAACGTCACTTGAAATGTTATTTGCGGAAAAAGGAGACAATCTATCTGTGCTTTATGCAGCTTGTGTGTACATAGCCAAAGACTTGTTTCTCTGCTGCTCCAGAGGGTTAGACACATATCCCCAGAGGTCTTCGGGCAGAAGCTGGACAGCCAGCTGTTGCAGTTTTTTCTACCTCTGGGTCTACTGCATTGGACTAGATGGACTGCAATAGGTGTGGGGAACCTTTGGTCCTCCAGGTGTTGCTGAACTACAACTTCCATTACCACCGACCATTGGCCAAGCTTGGAAAGCCAAAGATTCCCCTCTATTGGCCTACAAGGTCCCTCACCAATTCTGTGTTTCATAACTTCTCAGCCAGCTAATGAACAAAGTGAAGGCTCTGTAGTGTTCTGTAGGTCAGCCTAGAGTTGCAACAGTTTTGTAGGTCTCAGGTTTGTCCGGAAGGGAGGCAACTCAAGAAGCAAACAGGATTTCACCTATTCCTATAGATCCTCATGATTTGTCCTGGTATGAGACCACCTCCTTGACTGCCTGACGGCCTTGATTTTACTTCTATGACTGCCAAGATATAATCCTCAAAAGGAGCCAACCATCAACAGGGTTTCTAGCCTTCATCCCTTCCCCTCCTCTTCCCTAAGGTAGAGGTGATTTCACTAATCATTTTACCAAGCTTCAACATGAATGCAAGGACATTTCTGACAATTACTTTCATGCCAATTAAATTAGCTGGCTATCTCTTTAGTTATCCTAACTATAATCAAGATCCTAAATTTCAAGCTAATTCAATCAGAGCAAGTATTTACAATGTAGATGAGTGCTCAATAAGGAATTAAATTAATTTGTATGTACTGTCTGAGAAACCAATTACAACAGGTCTGTTGAGAGTTTGACAATAGTTATACAGCTGGTAAACCATATTATTTTTTTCAAACAGAATGCCCATTTCATCAGGAGCCAAGTAGGGTGTGTTTAGCTTGAAGAAGAGACAACGATCACTATCTTCAAATATTTGAATGGCTATCACATAGATGCTGGGCCAGACTTGTTTACTGGGTAGCACCCAGTAAATGAGTTCTAATTCCAGAAAAGAGGGTTTTGACCAAACATGCAGAAGAAAGTCCTGATGGTACGTGCTCATGTTCAACTGTAGAACGGACTGCTTTGGCAAGTGGTGGACAATCTTTCATTAAAGGTTTATAAGCAGAGGCTAGAACGTTCCTATCAGGAACGCTGTTGAGCTAGCACTGGCTAGTTTACCTGTTAGGTCCCTTCCTTTCGATTCCATTATGCCTTCTGCAAATGCCCTGTTAAACTAATCCATGTACACCATACTGTGCAGGCTGCAACCATTAGGCTCACCATGCTTGCATGGCTCCACCCATCTGCATAATGAGCAACATGCCTTCCTCCCAACTGTGAGGCCACAGAGGAGAGTGGGGATCATCCTGGCAGTTTTTCAGAGGTTGGGAGGGTGGTTTGGAAGCTGCGAGGTGAATGCTACACAGAGCCAAGCCAGCAAGCCCTGCTCCTCCCCGAAAAGCTTCCATGTTCCAGGGGCTTATTGGCTTCTACTTGGTGGGAGGTGCTCCTATAAGGAAGGGGCCCTTTGTGCTCAACAAAGGCCAGGGCAGCAGTTAAAAGTCTGCAGGTTCCCCACCTCTTTTTCCAACAACAGAGGCATGCAGGTGCTCTTTCAGCCTTTGCCCCACTCCTGAGCAGAGGTTAGGCCCATGCATTCCCCACCTCTTTTCTCAGGAGGCTTCTTCAGGAGTGATTTGGTGGAGTGGCTCCGTGCCCCTTTGACCAGCCTCAGTTGGAACACGCCCCACCTATCATGCCCAAAAGAGGGGCAAGGAAAGGATTGTTTGGCAGATGGACCACAGCCCCAAGAGAGTTGTGGGGAGGCCATCGGCCATTGTCTGCAAGAGGGGCTTTCAGCTTTTTCATCAGCTGAAATGTTTCCTTCGCTGTTGGGCAAAGGCACTTCTCTCTATTGAGCCAGCAGAGAGGAGAAATCATCCCCTTGCTCTTTTGTTTGCTATCTCTTTACCCCACCCTTCCAGCTCCATGATTCTATACTTTTCTGCTTCAACAATGTTTCATTATGTTCCTATCACTTTATGTAATTGTATTTTGTACAAATTATAAAAATAAATAAATGAAGCATGTTCTATTTACAAACAAAACATTCAAATGGCTACCTTTCTACCAGTAGGATGGTGGGGACATGAGCATAGCCAGATTTTTATTAGGGTACAGGCTTTTGTTGCGGGGGCAGAACCTCAGGTTTGTATTGATTTGTATTTAATTGGGGGGCAGCCACCACCCCTGCCCCCCTAAGCTACGCCATGGGGGGTAAAGGAATGAAACAAGGTTGGAAGGGGGCCACGGTCGGAAAAAGGTTGGGAAGCAGTTCTTATTTTAATATGTAAGCTGTCTTGAGGCATAAATATAAATATAACAACAACATTTACTTATTTATTTTATTTATTAACCCACCTACATTGTTATCTATTTGTTTATCTACTCACTCTTACGTATGTGAATGTTCACTAGACCTTTTTAGGGCTATGAATGTTGAATTTTTGTATAAATACACACACATGCAAAAATATGTGAGGGTTTTATTTATTTTTTGTTCATGTCTTAGAAGGAAACTATGCAATAATCCAGTGCTACTTAGGAATCTAAACAGGTTCTAACACAGAGAGACACACAGTTCTCTCAACCTGAAGCCACCACAGCAATTATCTTCAGCACACAAGACAATTTGAAAGCCCAAGAAACTACTTATTCTCTGCAGACAGTGCCAATCAAATGGCTTCTCTGCGGCTCCCAGTGTCTTTTATGTAATCACTCAGAAGAAAAGCAACTATAAAAATTTAAGTGCCATGCAAACACAATGCTGACTATCCTGGAAGAACCTGCCCTCCCCCTCAAAATTTACAAAAATCTATAAAAGAGGTTGCCAAGGCGCCGAGGCCCAAATGGAGTGCTTTCTTCTCAATGCCATTGAAAGAAGCCCTATTGTTGAAAAGAATTAAAAGTGACAAAGATGTCGCTACTGAATTTAAGGACAATAGGAAATAACAGAGTTAAAGGTTCACTTTAAAAGTTCAGATTTGCAAACTCCTTTTTTCTGATTTATGGCCTTCAGTGATATTGTGAAATGTCTACACAGATGGGTCTTTTTATTTTCTGGAAAAGAAGCAACTCCAAGAATTTTAGCCGTAGTTTCACAAGTATAATTTTGTTTAAGCAGAAAAGAATTGGTGTGATATGAATTTAAAGTTGCACATCTCTTAAGTTGGCAGATTTTCAGTGGAATCCTATGCAGTGCTACTCAGAAGTAAATCCTATTTAATTCAATATGGCTTACTCCCAGATTGCAGCCCCAATAAACTAAAGCTTTACTTGATTTTATGTGGTAACCAATATTAGTGTGTATTGTGAGTTACGGGCACATTTATATTTTAGGTTATTTTGGTTCTGACATGTTAGTATACTAGGGAATGAAGAAGAATAAGAATTAAAGTTTGTCTTGTCTTCAAACAATAAGTGATATTTTTGCTCATTAAGTTCTCAAAGCCTGTTCAATATCTCAAGAGGTGCTTACACCGAAGTTTTGTAAAATGCAGATTGATTTAAGTCTGATTGGTTAAAAGACAGATGATTATTCAATTAAAATGCCATTAGTTGGTCAAAAGTTCAAGTGAAATTTGCATTTAAAAAAAATGACAAGGATCAGCTTCCTATAAACATTCTACATAACTTGAGAACCACTGCTGCTTCAGTGCAACTCAGCTTCACCAATACTGGAATTTGTCTTAAAATATAATATTCATCAAACTGGAATATTATTCTGGAGTTTCTAGTAGCAATACATTCACCCAGGAAGTGCACAAGTGTTTTCAATACCAGAACTGAATCCCGGACTAATTCTCAACCTCTACTTGTTGGTATATCAGCCAGATGCAGGGATTTCCCCAGAGATTCTTGCTTCTGGTCCAATTTAAAAGTGCTCGTTTCTCTTACTTGTGTATGCTATTACAGGTGTTCATCATTTCCAACTTGTAAAGAACACCTGTTTAGCTCAAGGAACCTTATGAACTGCAAAGACGACTACATTTTTATGAGAGTCCCTGTATGATACATACATTTACTTGTACTTTCATTATTGTACTTAACACACCGGTGTTCAACTGGTGGGTCAGGACAGGAGAATTACCACATTCAGTTATATGGGTTGAAAATTAAGAAATGAGTTCCAAAACACACATTGGAGCTAAAGGTGGGACCCAGTTCTGAACAGGAGAAAGGCTGCCAAACTAACATGCATCACAATAGTCCCAGTAAGTGCTGTTGTAAAGCATCAGATGCCTGATTAATCTACGGGTTGCCTGTGAATTAAGGTCTGGCAGGCTCTACACATTTTTTGTGCAAGCAGATGGCACATTTACCACCACGCATAGATAAAGAATGAACTATATGGGCTGCTAATGAGACTTTATCACAGGTTTCCTATCAAATGTCCAACTAGCCCCTGGCTAAGATAAGATGACCTGCCCACGCTTCTTAGCTGCACTGAGCACAACTGCTGTGCTCATATACACATTTTGAATACGACACTGCAGAATTCAATGGCTGCAAGCCCTGTGCCCTCCCCTACCCCCCCCCCCAAATCATTCTAAATGCTTGGCTGTCCAGCTGTGTATAATTTGGCCTTTAGGCTGCAAAACAATTGACAACATCCAAGTCGTATGAGTGAGCAATATTGAATGGAGTGTTCTAATGGCTGCTTTGCACTAAAGAGAGACCCTCTCGTGCAACAAAGCACCAAGGCTAACCTTATTACTCAGATCCATGAAATGCATGCCTTGATCACTCATTTCTGAGAATGGAAAGGGATGAACAGTTTTGAATGTGTGACAATAAATGCAATGCATTCCTGGTTGTTTTTAAGCTGACAACGGTTGATGGTTGTTTTTGTGTGTGTGTGCAGTCAACACTGAATTTAAGCAACGTGCCAAACCATTGCATTCCACCATTATATATTGTATACACTGTATATAAAGGATATAGAATCCATGTGGAATGTACCTTGGATAAAAGGTGCTCGGCTCCAGGGCCCCAAACGTTTTCAGTAAAGCCAGTTTTGTGGGTCTGTAGAACAGAGGTAGCCAACATAGGGCCAGATGGTGTTGGACTACAACTCCCATCAGCCTCAATGGTTGGGGATGATGGGAGTTGCAGTCTAAGAACATCTGGATGGCACCATGGTGGCTGCCCCTGCTTTATAAAGCCTGGTGGTCCTCCAAGGCAATCAGATGTTGGCTCTCTTCAAAAATAGTACGGGGGCAGGAACCTGGTGCCCCGCCAGATGTTTTGGACTAAAATTCTCACCAGCTCCAGGCTGCGGTTCATACCTTTGTACTAAAATTCTGCACACAGGCTGCTTAAAGCCCACTGGAGTCAACTGAATTTGAGCAGTTTATAGGAGGGTAGAATCCCCTACACGTCCTGAAAGGAAAGGCCTATGTTGTGGGATGTGGGGAGTTGCAGTGTGAAAGGGCGACTGAAGGATATTGAATAGAGGCAGCTGCCTACAGCTTAAAACACTTTTCAGGGTGTCCAGAAGACTGCAGTGGAGAGAAGGCAGGGAAATACCCTGTGCAAGTTTCTTTAAACTCTATTTTGCGGGGTCTGGGGGGGTCAGCATGGCTTCTTCAGCTGCAGCCATGTGTACACAATGAGGGGGGAAACATGAGCATGGCCAAAGAAGCCTGGCATTTCTGCTGTGACAACCAGCATGGCTGAACAGACAAGCCAACTTTAAACTGAAAGGCACCTTGCCTGTTTAGCCCTGTGAGTGGCTATACCGATAACTTCAGACACCCGTTAAGCTGGGCATATGACTCTGACTCATGCACAAGCATGATTTTGTGGCTCTGCAGCCCAAAGCCCTGGCTCCCGTTTCCCAGGGGCATTCTTGCCACTCTTTAGCTAAAACTCTAACCTGAGTGACATTTCATTACTTGCCTCACAATGGCACCTGCTGCAAAGGCAGGCAAGCAGCTGCTGCTCTGCGGAGCCAGTTACAGATCGCGAAGTATGTGCCTTCACCAACCACACCCAGCCCAGAATTCTTATCTGCTAACAGTAATTTGGGATGCAAGCACACCAGCACGGTTTTCTGGGATTACTGCTGGCTGCCGACATCAAATTTTTGACTCTTTGACCTAGACTGACAGCTGCCTTTCCTTTTCACCCCACATACTCAGTAACGACGATTATGCCTCAGATCATTTCTACATGCAATTTTCTATCACTAGCTTTTGTTTTATCATTTCCTGCAAAGGGTTGGAGAAATCCAATTTCCTTTTCAAGCACTGGTCCTTTTTCCTGCATGCGTTTCAAGAGACTTCTTTCCCTGCTTGCTCTTTAATCTCTTTCCTCAAGGTATGCATGATACTAAAATTAAATAGATTGGATGCCGTATGAACACCTGGCCCTAAATCACAACTGGCATCAATACTCCCCTGTGACAGTAAACAAAGCTGTTATATAGATGAATATACAAATTAAAATTTAGGATTATAGTTTTATTCTTCAGTCCTAAACACACTCACTAGGCAAGTCAGTTGGACTCACTTATTAGTAAACATGTACGTACTGTGTGTTATAAATAATAAAGTGGACACAGGTGAGCAAAAATATTGATGCACGAGGCTTAAAAAGACAAAGAAGACGGGGACTTCCGGGGTGGCGCCATCGGTAATGGCGGATTCCCTCTGATCCGGAGGGACTGGCTCCACGGAAAACGGGTCTGTTCCGCTACGGCGAAGCGGGGACCCTTTAAAAAATCACAGGCGGATGAAGCCTGTGACCATGGGACTCGGCGGGCACCTTTTGCGCCCCCCCAATTCATAAAAGAACCTAGTTACGGGCTCCGGAGCGAAGAGGGGCAAGTGGCGCGGTGCTGAGAGTCAACTGCTTCTTCCGTGGAGCGAAGCTGCACAGCCGTTGCCGGAGAGCGCTACCTTCTTCCTGGGACAATTTGGCTACAAAACAACTACCCGTGAGGAGATCAAATTTGGACAATTGGACTTTAAACAATGATCTGTGAGTAGAATGGAAAATTGGATTAAGAAATTCCTCTTAATTTGGCACTGAAGCGGGAAGGTCTAAACAGGAAGTCAGCCTTCCGTTTCTTGTAGATAGATTAAAGCAAAGACATGGCAAACTAGAGTGTAGAAAATCGCTTGTAAAGGATCAACTTTCATCATCTAAAATTACTGAACCCCCTTCGGAAGCAGGAGAAGAGGGGGGATTTTTTCCGGATTGCTTAAACCTGCAGAAGAGAGTGTAAGAAAAGTAATTTTCCACCGTCTTGAACCTGGGAGCGGGGTGTCAGGACAGACGTTTTTGGGAAAGTTCATTGACTATAGACAAATGTTTTTGATAGATAATTAAAAGAAGAGAAACATAGTGATTCCATTGTGCTCTTTCGCAATTTAAAGGAATAAATATTGACAAAATATCTGAAAAAGGAAACTTTGTTGTTAGATCTGCTGTTAAAAAAAAAAAAGAGAAGAGTTGGATACAAAGAGAAGTTCTTCCCCTAGAGGGAGCTTGTGAAACTGTTACTAAACTTGAACTGGGGAGCAGCTGCAACAGATTAAGATCGTGGGAATAGACTTCTGACCTTGTATAACAATGTGCTCAGAGGCTCTGGTGCGTGCTTTCTGTAAAACAAGTGCTCTATTGGAACAGTTACATGAGAAGACGGATTTGATGACTGTTGCGATCAGAAATTTTGGACAGGTAGTGGGTACCTATATAGAACCCACTCAGGAATCAAATCAGGAATGTGCTCTGACAGATCAGATGAAGGAGGAGATTGTTGTTGGACCTCGGGTGGCAGAGATGGAGGGAGCTGCGGCCCAGCAGGAACATGAGCTGTTGGATTTGACAAATGAACTTGGAAAAAGCCAGATTTGGAGAGATAGAGTCTTGTTTGGTTTGGAGATGGGGGGCTGGATAGACCCCCCCTATGCAGGGATGTTTTGATTTTTCAAGTCTGGCGTTGGGTTGGGAGGAGTTTGGAGTTGTGGGGGTCCTCAACTTTGGAGGGATCTTGAAAAATGTTTTTAAATACCACATGGAGTTCAGTGTGGACTATGGAAAAGGGGCTGATCTGTCGAGAAGGGATAAAAATACTGTTAAGCTGGAGTCTCCACGTGTGAAAGGTGCAGAAGACAAAGTAAAGTACGAGTATAAATATGAAGAAGATCTGCAGAAGGGACATGGAAGAGACTTAAGGGCCTCGGACATAAGGTTACCAGGTTAATGAACTAGATGGATGGGATAGAAAGGACTGACAAAACCCGTGACCAGGAGGAAGAGACGCTGGATGAAGATTGGAGAAAGTTTCAAAAATTCTATTTAGGAATGTTTTCTAAAATTAATGAGTATTAAAAAGATGTTGGAACGAAATTATTTGGCTTTAGCAGAAATGTTAAAAAGAACTATGCAAGAATATGTCATGGTTATGAGAAATTGGTATAGATAAGACTCAAGCTTTAAGTTTTAGGGTTTTTTATAGTAAGATAAGGTTAAAATAGATTAAGGTAATTTAATGACAGAATATCATGAAAAATGGGAAGGATTTGCTGTGATAATCAATAACTAGAATACAAAAAGGGAGGTGTGAGGAGGTCCATGAAACAAGTTAATGAAAGATAAAGATTTGGGGATATTGGATTTGTTTTTAAATTTTTTGTTTATTTTTGCTTTTTGATTTTGATGTATCTGTGTGATTTGTTTTTTTCTTTGATTTTTGTTTTTATTGACTTGTATTGTTTAATTTCTCTTTTTGTCTACTTTTTTCTTTGTTTCTTTGTAATCTTAAAATCCTCAATAAATATTATTTAAAAAAAGACAAAGAAGACGAAGAAGACGAAGAAGAAGAGTTTGGATTTGATATCCCGCTTTATCACTACCCTAAGGAGTCTCAAAGCGGCTCACAATCTCCTTTCCCTTCCTCCCCCACAACAAACACTCTGTGAGGTGAGTGGGGCTGAGAGACTTCAGAGAAGTGTGACTAGCCCAAGGTCACCCAGCAGCTGCATGTGGAGAAGGAGTGAATGCCAGATACTGACATGAGCAAGGCTACTCAGAAGGCTTCAGATCACAGGCTATGCAAGGCAGCAAGGGAAGTCTGGCATGCCCTGAGAACAGACAGCTTTCTAAGGTGAGCAGTTACTCATCCTGGAAGCAACAGCAGGATCTGGGATTAAGTGATTTGCTCCACCCAATCACCTGACATCCTGGTTGGAAGCATTTGGTCCAAATATTTTTACTAGCTGGCTTAAAAAACTGCAGTCCATCTGCAGCCCTAAATCAACTAAGGCAGTAGTGTCTGATCCTCCAAGGTTCTTATTTGAGCTTCATAGTACAAAAGAAACCACTTAATTCCTTCATGAGTTATGTGGAAGAATCAGAACAGGCACTTGCGTGTTTTGGGGTTTCCATGTAACATTTGAAGTTGCTTGTAGATAATTTGCAGAACTTTATTTATTAATGTTGATTTCTACCTGAATGTTAAAAATCAATTTCAAAATTTGAAATCCACCAATTATTTATATTTGGATACTATGATTTTTTTAAAAGAAAAAAATAATATTAAGTTTATTTAGGCATGTCAGACTCTGGTGATAACATTTAAAATGTGGAAGTGTTGAATGTTCAAAGCACAGCAATATAAAGTCTGAAAATTTGAGTTGATTGTCTTGGGTCCAGAGGTGTCTTGTGCAGAAAGGCAATTCTGCTTGCACAAGGTGGCCCAACTGATTTCTCATGATTTCCATGCCCCTCCTATCCCAGCATCTGCCATTCCTGGGAGTATCTTAAACTTCAGAATTCGCTCACGATGTGGGATGCAGGGGGCTGAAGTAATGGGAGGTAGGACACCCTGCATGAACAGAGTTCTACTCATGTATTTCTGGATTCAACTCACTGAGTCAAATGCAAATTTTGTATCTTGAACACAGTTAAATTTTCCAGTGTGAACTTCCTATCAGCTCTGATTAGCAGGTTGCATCCTGAAACTACTGTATTTTTCGCTCCATAGGACGCACTTTTCCCCTCTTAAAATCTAAGGGGAAATGTCTGTGCGTCTTATGGAGCAAATGTGTGGTCCCTGGGGCTAGGGGGGGGACCTGGGGAGCAGCGGAAAGCTTAAGCGAGGCGCCTGGCCTGGAAGCCGGAGGAGGAACAGAAGGGTCTCCTTCTGTTCCTTCTCCAGCTTCGCTTGAAGGGGCACTGCACAGTTCTCCCTCTCTGCGCAGCACCTACGCTGCGAAGGAGTGGCGCTGCGCAAAGAGGGAGAACTGCGCAGCACCCCTTCAGCGAGGCGCCTGTCCTGGCTTCTGCCTTAGCCTCTTCCGGGCAGGGGGGGCCTTCATCCCGCTGCCCTGAAGAGGCTTGGTGCTGTTATCACCGAAGCCAGAACAGCCACACAGTATCCCAGAAGCCAGATCTTGATGTTCTGGCTTCTGGGATTCAATTTTTTTCCCCTTGTTTTCCTCCCCCCAAAACTAGGTGCATCATATTCTCTGGTGCGTCCTATACAGCGAAAAATACAGTAATCAATCTCTGAATTGAAAATGCTTTGATTTGGAGCCTCATGCAAAGTCCTTGGTTGTTGTTTTTCCTATCCTCAAAGTCCTTGTGTTTCTCTACAATGATGCATTATAAGAGGAAAGCCCTATTGGTCCGTTGCAGCAATGACAAGTAATCTTGTGACAACTTAAAAACAAACTGATTTATTGTGGCATAAGCTTTTGTGGACTTAAGAGAGCACTTTGTCAGGCGCAAGAAAAGTTATCCTTGCTTGGCTGATATTTACAGATTGCTGCAGAGTGAAAGGAAGTTTGTTAACAGTACAGGAAACCGTGGTTGAAGAAATAAAAGCAAATTCTCAAAGAGGTCAAAAAGAAAAGTGGGGAAATACTGTAGTAGTAGTAGTAGTAGTAGTGGTAACAATAACAACAATAATAGTAATAATAATAATAATTTATTATTTGTACCCCGCCCATCTGGCTGTGTTTCCCCAGCCACTCTGGGCAGCTTCCAACAGAGATTAAACATACACTAAAACATCAGTGCTTAAAAATTTCCCTAAACTGGGCTGCCTTCAGATGTCTTCTAAAAGTCAGATAGTTGTTTATTTCCTTGACATCTGATGGGAGAGCCTTCCACAGGGCGGCGCCACTACCGAGAAGACTTCTGCCTGGTTCCCTGTAACTTGGCTTCTCACAGTGAGGGAACTACCAGAATGCCTTCAGCACTGGATCTCAGTGTCTGGGCAGAACGAAGGGGGTGGAGACGCTCCTTCAGGTATACTGGGCCAAAGGGGGGGGGGGAGGGTTGAGCTCCAAATTCAACACCCTTAACTGCAAATGAGAAGTGCACCCCTTTCCAGTGCCTAAACAATTTATAATAGGGGAAGGACCCATCTATAAGTCAACAAACAATTGAATCAACGTTTGCAAATATGTGAGTCACAATTGCATACTAAGTAGCACTCTTTCTCCCTACAAACAAGTATCTCAACCACAGATAAGCTATCGTTTTTCTGCAGTCAATCAAATGCTGAGGGTATGGTTTTTCCTATTCAATCTCTTGAGTCTCCTGCACAAAAACAAGCAGAGGTTGTGCAGCAGCAGGGCCTGGGTGGACCAGGAACCCGCAAAAGCCCATGACATTTGCAGTTCACAAAGCTGTTAAGTACATATTAAGAAAACAAAATATAGGACAGTCTCTTGGCAATGCAAAAATATGATCTTACAGAATGAGGTTCTGTCTGAATACTTTATGAACGAATAAAAGAATTCATAATGAAGAGTAATGAAATAAAGTTTAACAATGAATTTGTTTATTTTAAATGGGTTTCCTTTGGTTCTCATTAGTTTAAGACTGTGGTTCTTAAAGTGTGGTTGGTGGGCACTGTGAACATTCATATGGGCCCCAAGACTCTGATGCAAATAGCAGAACAAGATGCTTTTTGACAACAGCAGGGAAAACAGCCCCACAACCAGACCATCGTCCTTGTGTTGCATAGGGCGACAGACAGGTGCTGCTGCCTGAACTGCACCAGTACAGCACTAGGAGTGGTTATTATTCCAAAAATAATAATAATCCAAAGGCCTACTTCTTATAAACGAAAATTAAAATGTTATTTACAGTGGCTTGGATAATAATGCATTTAAAAAGCAATCATGAATATTTAAAAGAAGTAGGCTACAGAAATTATGCACTCATAACGTATGCAATGGCTGCAGGGAGTCATTTTGACAACACAAAGGCAAACAAAAAACAAAAAACCACCCACAACTCCACCTGACAGACCTGTGTCATAAGCAGCAACAGTCTTGGCTACTGTCATGCTGTTGCCCTAACAACAGGATTTAGCCTCGATACATGAACATTTCTTTTCTGTGGTTTCTTCTCCCCGCCTTGAAAACACACATCACCTTTTGGGATCATGTCTGTATGCACTTCCCCATACAGGGAAATTGTGAACTATGCAATGATGATTAACCTTCCCAAATCAATAAGAAAGAGAAAACTAATACAGCATTCCAAGCTGATCTAGCTAGTGCTCTTTTGTCCCTAAATCCAAGAAAGCAGAATTAAAAGATAAGGAAATATGTGACTGGGGTGGGAGAAATCAAGAGCCCTCTAAGGACTGCAATCGTTTTGTGACCACTGCTTGGGTGAGGGGTGCTGACTTACTTTGGAAGACAAAAGGGGTCGGATGAGCTTCGCAGGTGTAGCAAAATGGGAGCCTCTTCTCTCTCACGTGTGAATAGCATCCACCACCACCCCAATACAGCACAGATTTCAGGCCCAGCAGCTACGTGATCACTGAAGCTCCAAAAATGTACCTAACGGATCATGGAGTGCTTTTTGCAGATGACACCCATGAGTTCTCAGCTCTTGCACTACGCTGCGTGATTTGTATGCCATCCATGTCACACACAAATACCCAGGAAAGGGATGATATGATCACAGTGACTGGTGGAAGAGAACGTTAACTTCAGCAGAGCCATTCTGAAGTGATGTAAGAGGGGCCAAAGACTCAAGGTGTCAGGCTGAACCATAGGCATCTGTCAGAGGTGAGTCAGGATCTAGAAATCAGGAACCATGAGAAGAAGCTAGTGATCAGAACCAACAAGCAATCACAACCCAAGATAACAAGCCAGGACCAGTTGAGTCAGGAGTCAGGACTCCAGAGCAAGACCAGAAACACAAAACACGGTAGCGGCCAGGTAGACCATGTTATTCAAGCAAACCGCACCTGGGAAAAAAAGTCCTGCCTAGAATGAACCAATGGTGAACCCAAGTGGGTTGAGTCAGCCAAGAAGGATCTTCTCTGAAAAGGCTGACACCTGGGGTCCACCACATAGGGCAGCCATACAGGTAATTCCAGCAGCTCCTGACCCAGGATTATTCCTCATCTAAGCTAAGTTTGCCAGGTGCCTACTTTCTGAGCATCAGTGTCCCACAGATGCCACTCATTTCCATATAACATAATGAAGGTCCCTTATTGCCAAAAGAGATAATAACGCACTCGTTTTACATACGGTAACACGGGATTTAAACCTCTCACAATTTGCATGCAGGCCCAGCTGTTGAAGCAAAGCTAAGGTTTACTGTTGCGTTATATCCTTCCATTCAGGTCCCAAACACCTTTGTCAGCATAGCAATATATGCACAATATAACGAAAACCACACTCACAAGGAAGAGATGACTGCATGATCAGTGTTGTCCAGAGGAAGCCAGGAGGAATGCTTCTTTTATTTATTTTTAGGTTGCACTATAGGCCTTGAGGGGCATTTTTGCTTTTTAAATCGTTGCTGTTGTTTCAATGTACAGAAGGTTACGTATCAGCAAGCACTGAAACCCAAGACAGCATTATTCTGCACATCAACCATCATCGCAAATATTAATTCTCAAAATGCTGTAAAGGCATAATTTCTATTTGCTATATACTTCCTAATCCTACGACACTGAATAAAATTGGTCCATTTCCTCATGAAAGCATCTTGTCTACAGTGTTCTCTTTTTTACTTCTAAAATAATACTTGCCCCATTGCGGTAAACTTTTCCCAATAATAATATTTCTCCCATTGTGGCAAAGGTATACGCACCTGCCTCTATTTTTTTCATGTATATTATTCTAACTGCTGTAAATATATTGTAGTATATTAGCTCTCTCTGCTCTCTTCTTAGAATTCTCTGGTGTAGTTAAGTAAATAAAAAACTGAATGTCTTTTAATTTAAATTATATACTACTTAATGATAAAATAGGCTACCCTTGCCTTCTGTTACATGTATCCAGTGTGTTTAAGGTGCAGGCATGGACAAACTTGGCCCTCCAGCTGTTTTGGGACTACAATTCCCATCATCCCTGACCACTGGTCCTGTTAGCTAGGGATGATGGGAGCTGTAGTCCCAAAAAGCTAGAGGGCCAAGTTTGGCCATGCCTGGTAAAGGAACCAAAATCCAGAGGTATTTCTCTCAGGATTTTTAGGAAAGAGGGGAGAAAGTAGGCATCTACTCAGTAAACAGTTAAAATGCAGTGTTTAGTACTTAGTAGTATCCACAAAGGTAGATAGAACAAAGAAAGCTCAGCACTTATGAAAGAAAAAAACGATAACTGCCAACAGCTCTACCTAAGACCTTCTACAAAACAAAATAAAAAACCTTAAATTTTATAAGCTATATAAACTAGTCTGGGGGCTGCCAGTAATTACACATTCTTATAGTATGCTTTGGGGACTTCAACAGTAAAACAAAATTATACAAATTTGCATATCAAAGTAAATGAGTTTATGCAGGAAACCAAGCCGGAATGCTAAAGCTATTTAAGAGCCTATGGCTTAATGACTTAATTGAGGACAACAATTAGTCAAAAAGTTTTTTTACAAGGTAAACATGAATAACGAAAATCAAATACCTCAGAAAGAGTTCAAGGTTGTGAAGAACGCAACGCATTGTACACCACACCCAAATCTGCCATTAAGCATGGATCCCAATAACTTGGCCAGCCCAATACTATGTGGCTGCAGCTGCAGGGCAAGCTATGAGGTTCACTCTGCCACAATTACTGCAAAATGCTATCCTCAGCAGGTGGAGAAGAAGCCTACAGGTGTGCCCTATTAGCAGTTCTTAAAACAAACAAGCAAATAAAAAACCCTTCATTTGCCCATACCCCCAAGTCCTTAATTCCTTTTTAATTGCACCTGCTTCAATGGCCTTTAATGTAAGGTAAAAAGGCTCACCCCCCAAAAAATGTTCAAAAAGCAGGACCAAGTATAGAACACTGTACTAGCTGGTACAGTGGTACCTCAGGTTACAAACACCTGGGGTTACAAACACTTCGGGTTACACACTCCGCTAACCCGGAAGTAGTACCTCAGGTTAAAAACTTTACCTCAGGATGAGATCAGAAATCGTGTGCCAGCGGCGTGGCAGCAGCGGGAGGCCCCATTAGCTAAAGTGGTACCTCAGGTTAAGAACAGTTTCAGGTTAAGAATGGATCTCCAGAACTAATTAAGTTCATAACCTGAGGTACCACTGTACCAGCTAGTAGGAGGGTTGTGATCACTGTATATGAAGAAATGTGTGATGATCCCAGAGCCCAGCAGTGATCAAGTCAGAGACAACAACGTCACTGGCTAATGAGCTAGACTGGGTTCATCTGAGCTTAATATTGGTAATCAGGGGACTATTGAACCTGAAGCTGGCAGGCTGGAGCCCCCTGAACTACACAGAACCTTCTTGGGCACCTACCTGTGTGTCCAATGAACCAAGTGCCTTCCAAACCTTCTGCAAAAGGAGGCAGGACATAGGAAGGATGGTTTGGTGCCAAAGGCTCAAAACGCCTCAGCTCATTTCTAGCTCCTGTCAAAGCACATTGCTTCTTCATGGTCCTGCTCCTACTCTGGACCTGAGAAGGAACCCACAGGGCAAAAATCTCAGGTGTTGCAGCACCAGAGAGTGGATAAGCTGCTCCTGCAAAGGCTGCAGGTGAATGGAGGTCTTTTGGCCTCTGCTGTCTACCTCTCCTAGTCTCCACCTTTGTGAGAATTGCACTCCTTAAAGGGCCAGCTAGCAAGGTCACTTGCATGTTCTGTAATCTCATGGAGAGACCAGAGTTGTTCCTGAACTGCCTTCAAATGCCTGCGAATTGATCCAAAGAGGACCATGAAAATTTATCTCATGAGCTACCTCACAGTCTTTATGGGCAGACAGAAGATGTATGGAAAGAATGACAAGGCAGGCAATACTTCAGAAAAGCACCATCTTGGCTAATAATTATTTATTTACCTGGAGATTTTGTCCTTTAAGATAATACAGGCTGCAATCCTATTCACGCATACCTGGCAGGAAGCAGGGGCTTCCTTTTCAGTAGACACTGTGTAGGGCACTTTATAGTTCTCTGTTTAAAATAATACTAATCATTCATGCACTTGAACATTGTTAATTATTACTGGTTTTCTTCTAGCCCTGTTGCTGGAAACACCTGGAACTTCTTTACTTCAGAGGAATACATAAATGATTATTTTGCTCTGGTTTCTTAGAGGAAACAAAGGGGCAGAATATTCATAGGTTGGGAGATTAAAAACATGCCTGCACAATAGGCGTCCTCTTGCTGGTAAGTGTTCAGTGATGACAAGGGAGCGTGTGGAAAAATGAACTGAACTTGGAAGAACAATAGTGTGCCTCACGTCAATGTAAGTGCTGGGGAACAGTATGCAGTTGCAAAAATATATGTGCCGAAAATATAGAAAAAGCTGCAAGAGGAAAAACAAACCTGTGTGTGTGTGTGTGTGTTGAGGAAGGGTCAGGATTAGGTATTTCTCCTACTGACTTGTCAAAGCTATAGCAGACAGGTGCCAAAGGCCCTCTGGCCTACCCTTGACGCCTGTCCAGGCCCTCTTTAGAAAACAAATACTCCAGGCTACTCTCTTTGTTTTCCGTAGTACACCAGAAGATGATTCAGCTTTGCCCAGGCTTTCCTGGACTTGGAAGACTGTGCCCTGTTTTTCATGTCTGAATATTTTTAATTTCTGTTTTCGTCCCTTTTGCATGCTTTTGAGATTGCTGTTTTAGGTTGTATTTTTCTTTTCTTTTTTCTAATGATATAGGTTTTTTTAAAGACTTGAGATTTTTGAAATATTAAGCGGTATACAAATGCTTTTTTGAGTAAATAAATTTTCCACGCTGCCACTTATTTGAGGAGAAAGGAACGGCAAACTCATTCCCTCTGTTTTCCACACTCAGCCTCTGAGTACCATTGCTTATGTAGCCAAAAATTGCGCCACTCGTGCAAAAGAGGAAGGAATTGGCAAGCTCGAGGAATTTGCATGTGTACAAAAGCCCTAAGGAACTGTGGTGAAACCTCAAAAACAGTCCAAATGGGGAAGGAAAACCATGTACAGCCCCTGGAGCTCCTTGGAGGGAAAAGTGGTATATAAATGTAATAAATAAATAAATAATAATCTATGAAGTATATCCTGGGATCCTAGTCTATGCATGTTTCAAATAAAGGATATAATAGAGATGTTATATCAAACCAACAAGATGGTCGAATTCCAGACTCATGCAGGCAGGGTCAAACATACACACAGAGATATCTGTCCAATTTCTCAATTTAATTCATAAAATGACGACAAAAACCATCCAAAAGATAAAATGAAGCAATTTAACAAATGATAAGGTTCATAAAGGGAGACGGTAATAAAATAGCATGAAAGCTATTTTCATTAAAAGGCAGATGGGGGGGCACTTAGTTGTGGGTTGTAAAAAGAACACTTATTCTAGCAACCCATTTATCTCCTGATCTAAGAAACGAGTCCTTAAAATTAATGAAATGAAAAGAAACTCTCTTGCCTTGCCTTTTTAAATCTACATTTTAATTGAAATGATGGCTGCTAGTATTTATACTGCAGTTCACCAAAAATGAATCAAATGACTGTCTGAAAATCCAGGCCCTCGAGAAGTCCCAAAATGCATCTAATCCTTTAATTCAGTATTAGTTACTGTTGTAAAAACTTACGCAATTTTGCAAATGATCCCAAGGGGTGGAGGTGGGAGGCAAAACAAAGCCAATTTCGGTAAGAGCAGAGAGATTCTGCCCCTCCCCACAAAAGCTTCTAAAACTGACTGTGGAGAAACAATTTTGAAGTGAAAGGAACTAATAGGTGGCAATAATAATGCTGTGAAATTTCCTTTTTGTTATGCCAAGCAAAGTAAATGGTTCTGGATCAACAGCATTTGTTCAAATACACTCATTGTGGCACGAAACAACAGCAGCTTAGAACTGAAAGCTGAGTTTCCTTTCTATATTAATCTATTCTGATTGGAGGTTACTTCAACAGGTAATTCAGATTGGCTGATTTTGCTTCTGCAAGGTGCTATAGGATGGTTCATTACAACTGCAATCTGGATGGATGAAGGGAGAGGAGGAATAAAGCTAAAGGATCCCATCAGCCTTACTGTGAAATTGTATTGAAACATAAATGACAATTCTCGCTTTTGTCATTACAACCACAAGCAACCTTGATCCTCAGTTTCAGGTTTCCATTCCTGTCCTTCACCCTTGGCAAGCCCAGTGGTGTCCAAACTATTTTCAAAGAGGGCCAGATTTGATGAAGTGAAGGGCCCGAGGGCCGACCAAAGGCCCAACCAAAGTTGTTGACTTTTTTCAGAATTGACGTTGTTGAGGATTTTACCCCAGGAAATAAATCTGCCACAGGGGCTGGATTAAACCGACCGGCGGGCTGGATTAAGCCCCCGAAACAGACTTTGAACATGCCTGGCCAAGCCTAAAATGAGGAGATCAGAAGCTTCTGTTACTGATCTGAACCAAGCAACAGCTTTCACAAAGATCTTAAATAACTATCAAAACGATGGCTATAGTCCAAAATTTGGATCAAACATGGTTTGGGATCCTTCTTTATGGGGTAAATAATAATTGGTGTAAGCCGCAGTTTGCCAGGTTTGGGTGAAATGGCATACTATGGTTTTCTGTAAGCCTGAGTCAGAGGCTTCTAATCTTCTCCACACACACACTGCAAGAGGGAAAGGGAAGGAGGTTCATGTCTGCTCACACACATAAAGGTAAGCAAAGGTATGCCATTATGTCTGAATGCAAGATAGGCAAGTGTGCCTAGGGCTGCAGTCTACATCAAAAGAGGACAGCACATGGTTTGTTAATTTTAGTATCTTGTTCAAATCTAAACCTTCCCTCAACCCACCACAGCAAATGTCCACATGATTGCACGGAGAAGCTTGATATGCATGGGAAACACATTTAAAGTCTAAATGAATTGATGGCAAATAATCAGAACTTCATGTTACATTCCTTTCAAATCTCACACTTTCTTCACCCTTCTTGCAAATTCATGATTAACATAATCTGTCAGTCTCCATCAGAATTATACATTGCCTGATGATAACACAAATTAGCTTTATCGTATGTGAATAAAATGTACAAAAATTATCTGGAGCCAAAAACAGCACCATATCAGCTCAGTTGAGTCAGAATTTCTTTCCCCTGTCAGGACAGATTTCTTTACATATTCACACCAACAAACGAAATTAAGCAGAATTATAATTTTGCTTTCCCACCCACCTATGCTCAAATAGATCTCTTTTCGTGTAAGAAAATACAATTCGAATAATCAGAAAGCTTGTAGCAACTGTGGCAAACATTACATAATGATTTCTGACACAAAGGTTTCTTTATTGATGGATGGTGCGAGATGTGTTATGATTTGACTCCTGTTGCCCTGACAAGGTGATGAGCACAGTGTTGGAATTCAACCCCCCCATAGCAGGTGTCAAATTAGTGACCTGTGAAATAGCATATGGTACTGCAGGCATAGGCAAACTAAAAACAATAATCCTTATTTCAAATAAGAAACATTTTCACTGAGAAGCTTTTCAAATGCAAAAATGTTTGCATAAATCTGTATTGCATTTCTAAAATACAAAGCACAAGAAATCAATTCAACAATTGTGGGGAGGGTGTAACAATTAATCCCACCCTGACAAACTGATTTCTCCATAGCATAAATTTCTCTAAGGGGGTATCCTTCTCCGGGCATTCGAAGAATGTGTGTAAGGGGCATGGGGTCTATGCTTTGGCTGTATCCCCACAAAACTATGATTTGCACAAAACTATGATGTCCCCACAAAACTATGATTTGCAAGCCCACTTCAAATGAGGAAATGTTACATTGGATCTGCATCTTGATGACCGTAGCCCTGATTTAGCATTCAAATGGCAGATAAGAAGAAGAGGAGGAGTTTGGATTTGATATCCCGCCTTTCACTCCCCTTCAGGAGTCTCAAAGCGGCTAACAATCTCCTTTCCCTTCCTCCCCGACAACAAACACTCTGTGAGGTGAGTGGGGATGAGAGACTTCAGAGAAGTGTGACTAGCCCAAGGTCACCCAGCAGCTGCATGTGGAGGAGCGGAGACACGAACCTGGTTCACCAGATTACGTGACTACCGCTCTTAACCACTACACCACACTGGAGGCATGTTATATTTTTGTGATATTCGGGTTAATTTACCAATATGCATGCTGAGCATAGGTGGAGACAATGAGCACAGCACTTCTACAAATAGCTCATCAGATCCTCAGGGATAGGCATTCCGAGAGATGCTTTTAGCCTTCCAGAGCACTAAGCTCCCTCTCTGCTTCTTTTTTTCCTTATCTTTGTTCCCAATATACATCTACCATGGTTCCTTAAACATACACTGAGCCTCCCCTGCCTTCAGCTAGAGGAAAAGGAAATCTTTGCTAGAATGGACTTCACCATTCAGAACTGACTTCACCAGGGACTTTTCTGACCATACAGATATGGCTGGCATGCTTCTCCCTTGATTTTTCAGGAGCTTTAAGCAGTCCTTCCTATCCTTTTGACCCTATCTCTGGTATACATACCTCAGACTCCTTCACAGCAGTCAAAGCCAACCCTATAACAATAAAGTGTACCATTACTGCTTTTATTTCTTTAAACTTTTGAAGAATCCATGCAAGAGCTTGCCTTCCCCCTCTCTTTCAGGACATCGCAGGACAATGCAGACACATCAACAGCTGCTCTATTCATCAGCCTTCTGCATTCAACTGACCCTGGTTTGCAAGAGGGAGTTCTGCCCACCAAACCTGCCATTGAGAAATCCTTCAGGCAATAAACGGCAAAGTATTTACAGGGACTTCATCTGTTGGTCCTTTATCATCTTGATCTAAAGATAGGAGCTGACTCGCTGGCAGTTATTCATTATGTTTACCCAACAATAATTAATACGCAGTGTGTGGCTCTCACTCCAGCTCTTCATTATTCAGGAGAAGACTGAAACCATACTGTTCCAATTCACTTCGCTATCTTCTGACAGGAGCGATTTTGCTACAGTAAAAAGTCAACACTGCCTAAGCCCCGAACCATGGAATCAACAAGCTTTACAGCGCTTGCCTTCTTACAGAGTTAACTCCACAGGTAAATGAGCTCGAAGGCTTCTACCTGCCTAAAAGGCACAATCCTTTACATAAAATATGAGGAGTTTTGTTTCCTCTCTTACAAGAATCAGCATCTGTGTCTAAAACAATGGAGTCTCCAAAGTGAGACAAGGGAGGTTCTTGTGAATGGGTTTAACATAGCCATGCTGTCTTAACAACACAATCCCTGGAGAGTTTTTGAAGCTTGGCTCTCTGAACTTCCTGCATCTCTCAGGAAGTGAATGTTTTGTGGGACTTTGCACACTTTAGATATAATACCATGCCAACCATTTCCACAGGTGATATTTCAAATGCAAACATTATTTGCATTCCCAATGTCTGAAGTTAAAAAGCAAAATGCACATTCCAGCTTTCTTCATCTGATCCACCATCAGCAACCTCTAACGAGATTTTTAGCATGAACTGTGAGAACGGTCTGTTTTTATTTCGTACCTTGTCTGTAGGCATTTTCACAAGGACAGTGGAACCTCAGGTTACGTACCGTCCTCCTTACGAACACTTCAGGTAACAAGCTCCACTAACCCAGAAGTAGATGCTCCTGGTGTGAACTTTACCCCGGGATGCAAGCAGAAGTCATGTGGCGGCGGTGTGGCAGCAGCAGGAGGCCCCATTAGCAAGAGCGTGCCCCATGTTAAGAATGGCTTTGGTTTAAGAACAGACCTCCGGAACGAATTAAGTTCGTAACCGGAGGTACCACTGTAATGTGAAGGATGTGTTTAAGATCTCAGCCTGTTGTTTGTTCACTTTAAATAGAAAATATGGGTTTCTAATGTGAAAACGAGCTATTTATAATTGAAACAATGGTCCTAGAAATGTGGCTGTTTAATTCGAATGATCGCAGGCTTACTGAACAGCGCTACAGGTTACTTTTCTCTCGCTTATACCGTACAAAAATCGTATCACTTTGAACTTTCCTCCTGCAGGCTTCCTGCCTCTTGCAGCAAGGAGGAATTTTCACAAGTGACAATAATGCATTTTCACCTGGAACTCGTAAACATTCTTAATACAAGACATAAAGCAGCGAAGTTCATTCCAAAACAAGTGTACATTCTAGGAAATGCCGTGTTTACATTCCCATTCAGCCAAACCAAGTTAAGCTTTATGTGTGAAAATGCCTTTATCCTGTACATATGAATTATAGCTTATCCAGCTCAGTCACAACCACTTACATTTTCCAGATTATTTTCTAACCACCACTGTGCTACCTAAAGCAGGTCTTACTCAGCTTACCAATCCTTGCTTTTTGCCAAACCACAACTTGGGAAGATTAGCAGAGGTGCAAAGTAAGCTTGCTACTGCGCATTAGAAAGCATATTTTGAAAAGCTTCTCATAATTAGCAGGAGAAATAGAGATATTTAGTTGAGAATTACTGTATGCCAGATTGAAGATTTGCTTGGCTTGTTGGTGGTATTTATTTAAATCCAACAGCTTTAGATTTCTGTTGTGTGATAAGACACTTTCAGGAGTGCCCTTTAAATGAGAGCTGAGGGTTAATCAGCTTTACCAACCTGGTGCCCTCCAGTTGTTTTGGACTGCAACTCCCATCAGCCCCAGCCAGCATGACTGGAGGTCAAAGGATGGGATAACACAAGAAGCATGGGACCACCCATCAAATACAGAAGCCCAGAAGAGCAAACACACACAAAAATTAAGAAGAGGAAGAAGAAGAATTCAGGGAACTTCACAAAAAGGTTTGTTTACATACAACAGCTGTTAATGGCAGACCCAGGAAATGTGACATGAATGGAAGCTGCTCCCAGAAGACAGTCATGTTGCAAAGATGAAAAGAAAGCTCTTACGGAAAGGACATCAATATTAAAAAGGAAAGTGTTGCATGTAAAAGGCCTCAGGTTCAATCCTTTGTATCTCCAGTTAAAAGGACCTCCTGGGAAGCCTCTGTCTGGGACCTTGAAGAACTGCTGCCAATCACTGGAGGAGATGGTACCATTAAGTTTATATCCTTTACAGCCACTTTGGCCAACTAAGCATTTCACAAATACCATTTACATCTTAGAACATTTTTTTAAAAAAACAACTGTACTGAAATACAAAAAGAACAGTCCTCATCACCAGGAGCTACTATCAGGGGGAAAATCCATTGCTTCATACTTTGTGGTATGAATCGCATGTGACACAAACGCCTTAAGTGTCACCTCTTACTTGCCTAAAAAGGCCCAAATGCTGTGGCCTTTCCTCACATGAGAGCCGCTCCATCACTTTTGATCATCTTTTTCCAGCTCTACAATAACGTTTTTGAGCTGAGGACAGCCAGAAGTGTCCAAGTTACCACCTACTGCATGCAAATAGTTACCAAAACATGCAGCTGGACTGGTGTGACATCACGTGTTAGAAACGCAGGTATTTAAGCGAGGCTCCAAATGGCACCTTAAACCTGCGTTGTGGCCACCACAATGGAATGTCTATTTGCCAGGGAAATCAACCAGAAGACCCTTGGGATCTGTTCCAACACTACAATTCTCAACACTACTTTCCAGCCGCAATGTGGCAACTAGTTGTTTGAAAGCCCTTGTTTACGAACGGATTAGAACCTGACAGTCTTCAACTTCACATGCCAATAAATATCGCAAAATATATGTAACAGAACAAATGTTCCAGTATTATGACAAACATCTGTCCCTTTGTTTACTGAAATAAACCTCTCTACACACCTCAGTTAAGCTGACATTAATTTTGATTGAAGTGCTCTGTAGCGCCAGTGGTGCTATTCTAATGCAATGATAATGTTGTCATGTACAATGCTGTCGAAATAAATAACAACAGTAATAACTTGTACTTATTTATATAGCCTGATGAATATACATGGTGCTTTACATACTAACAGAGGAGAGAACAGAGAGAAAGGAACGGGAAGAAGAAGAAGAAGAAGAAAGAAAGGGGTTGCCAGGTTATGAATGTGAGCAAATGCACTCAGGGTTTTGAAAATCACAACAGGAAGCATATATTGGAAATTTTCAAATACAGGCCCTTGCAAAACCTATCAGAATCTTCCTGGACAACAGTCACTTTTCTTACGTCAATTCAAAATGCTACCCTGGGTATTTTAGCTGTACTACTGAAGCTCTGCTAGGCAAAAAGAGATCAGCGTGCAAGCCAAACTACTTACCAAGATTACATACAGAGTCCAACTTTGGATATTGGGGATTAATGAATTTGTGGGAAGAACAGACACCTCCCCTCTCCTCTGTAAAGTGCCTCCAACACAGGTATTTATGCACGTTCAATATGTGTGCGACCATGTATACAAACTATAAAGATGTCACTAAAACATAACTAAAAGGGCAGAACCGGGGGGGGCAGGGGGGAACGGGGAACTTGCAGGCTTTTTCAACGGGTTTCAATTCTATGAAATTTCACTGCTGTGGGCGGTGCCTCAGAACATAACCTCCGCGTAAAGAGAGGGTATGTGAGAGGTGGGCTTTGGAGATGGGGGTATTCTGGATCTGACCCACTAGTTGGCTTTGGTTCCCCATCCTGTGCTAGGTATTTAGCAACATTAAATATTCCCAGGTACAGGGAGGACATTTTCAGTGGTTCAGAGCTTTGCCACCAGCAGTTACGAAAGGTTACTAGGGCTGCTTTGGCATGTGGAAGAATATAAATTAACAGGGAATATAAACAAGTTTTCCCTGTAAAAGCAACTCAGTCAAAACATTAGCCTACTCTTTCCTGTACTGTCAATTAAACTGTGTTACAATATCCTGCTTTATCTCCCCAGTACTTTCTCTACACTTGGGGAGTTCAGATTAACTCTATGTCTTGATTGATTTTAATGGTGGATTCCAACTCTACAGCTATCAAAAGCAGGTTAAAATTACAAAAGGGTATAGAAGTTCAAAGTCACAATTGTCTGGACTTCCGGGTTGGCGCCATCGCCGAATGGCGGACTCCCTCCGAGCTCCGGAGGGAGTCTGCTCGGCAGGGGCTGGGTCCTACCGCGCCGGCGACGCGGGGACCCTTAAAAACCACGGGCACGGAGTCCGTGGACCTGGGTGACTCGGCTTGCACCATTAGCGCCCTCCCGACTCGTGAAGGAGCCTTTTTAAAGGCTTCGGATCGGGTGCCGGGGAGCGGCGTGGTGCTTGAGTCCTCTGCTTTCCCTGCCGAGCGCAGCCGCATGCCATTCGACGGAGAGCGCTGACTTCTTCCATTGAAAATTTGGACTATTAACAACAACCCGTGAGTAATTGGGAAACCGGGTTCAAAATTTCGGATTTGGCACGAGCGGGGCGATTTAAAAGGAAGTCAATCCCCCTACTGTAAGCATTCCAAAACAAGGACTGGGTAACCAAGGTCCAAAGGGAAGTATATTCTTGATAAAAACCATTAATTTCACGATGGGAAATTATAAGAACTGTGCTGGAGGAGAAGAGTGGAGGGTGAGAAGAAAAATGCAACCCCCCCCCCCGGGAACCAGGGCGATTCGTGGAGCCTGGTGAAGAGAGACGGAGACTTTGACAGCTGTCAAAGTGGCTGTCAAAGTTGGAGAATATAAAGAGGACTTTGTTATGAGGACTTTGCCGGTTAATTTTGCTACAATTTGCTACAATATGGATATAAACTGTTGGAAAATAAGCAACAATTTGACTTTTGGATTAGAGGATACAAAGTTATTACAAACCCCTAGAGGGGTTTCGGGATATTACAAGAACGGTCGTAAGTGGAAAAATACTCTGGGATCCGCACAGGACTTGTTATCTTTTGGGAAAGCTGCAAAACTGAAATAGTATTTTGTCTACAGAGGTATTTACATTAAAGGAGACAATAGAATTTTCTATTGAAGAAAGGAAGGGACTGGACGTAAGTTTTTGTTCCTGAATAACAAACCTCTGCAGAGATACCAGATTTCTGAATTAGAAAGTTTTAGCAGCTGAACAGGACAAGAAACCTGAGAAAGTGAGGAAAAGAAGAACAAAGGACTGATTACGACACGGAAAGAACAACGGGAGGAGTGGTAAAGATCAAGGAAATTAAAGGCCTTTGTTAGATTGGACACTTGAAGTTACATATTATTAATAAATTAAAAGAAAACCGGCAAGATGGAATCGGGAGAAATTTGGTCATGAATTGAGACTTCCAAGCTGATAATGCATAGACTGATGGATATGGGGAATTCAAACCGGGGAAGGGGGAGATTTGAAATCCAAAGGCCGTGTAACCATCTTTTGAATTTTTCTATATCTTTTATTTTTTTTTTACATAACTTACGCATGTCATTTTATTTTGATTGGACGTGTTTAAAAAAAGGGAATTCGTGGAAGGAACTGGGGTGGAGCTTGGGGAAAATCTTTTTCTTTTCTTGTTAATGATGTGGGACGGTGGTAAGATTTGTACAATTCAAGTTGGAGAGTGGGTTAAACAAATTAAGCTTCACATTGGGAGTGAGAGCTTGTAGAACTAAATTAAGGAAAGGGAATACAGTCGGGGGAGGGGAGTCCCAGAAAGTAGGCAATGAAAGTAAGGTTTTTAAATATCTCTTTTTCTTTTTCTTTTTTTTCTTTGTATTTTTATATTTTTGGAAACTTTAATAAATATGATTTTAAAAAAAAAAACAAAGTCACAATTGTCTGTATTTTTAACTATTTTTGATTGTTTATGAAATTTGGTAAGGCACAACTTATGTACATCTATATTGTCCATCCTTCCTTCCTTCTTTCTTTGCTATAATTACTTTGAAAACGGTATTTGATGTTTATGGTCCATAGACCAAATAAACTGAAATTAATCTGATTTGTGATGTCAGCACATGTTTCTACACTCCCAAACTCTAAGATGCACTTGTTCTTTTTGTCTGTTATTTTGCAGTAACCTTCATTTAGAAAGTAAGGTTGCAGCTGGCCCCTTGGAGATGCTAATTTAAGTAAGGAATGCAGTCCAAAATGTATGCATGTGATTTTGCCCCATCCCACGCCCCAAACATGTACGTCTGTCGAGATGATGACATGACACAAGTGGACAGAGAAATCAACATTTTACATAATACAGTGTTACTACTATACCCATTTCACAATTCGATTGTTACTACATATTTCACAAGAAAAACTGGGTGAAAAAAATGTGTCTCGTTTCTACCTAAGAGGTGATTTGAACTGAATATCTGCACTTCTGGACTGTTAATTGCTAGATGCAATGGTTTATTGCTTTGGCTCTGAAATCCCCCCCCCCTTTGTTAATACTGGCTTTAATTTTATTTTAACGTACTGTTGGTTTTTGCAGTTTTTGAATGTTAAATTCTTATTGTATTTTTTATATTTTTTATGCTTGCATTTTCTTGGTCAGGAAAGGCAGCTTATAAATATTTAAATAAAAAAAATGTATTTAACAATCGAGGGACATTTATGCAAACTGTCCCTTAGGAACAATGTTTCACACTACTTTCTGCCCATCCTAAGGCATACAGCAGATTGATAGCTCAGTCCTATGCAAGTCAGAAGGAAGGCAGACTGAATTCAATAGGCCTTGCTCCCAAGTAACCTGGCACAGGATTACAACCAGAGAATGAAAAGCAATCCACAACTGGGGCTGAGCTGCTGGATCAGATCAAAGGCCTACACAGAGCTGCCATCTTGTTTGCCTTAAGACATGACAGCAATAGCTCACTCTCTTGCTTCTGTTCCCTACTGATATTCAGAAGTATGTTTCCTCTGATCCTAGAGGCAATACACAGCAATCATGTCTTATTGACCATTGATAGATTTAACATCCATGAATTGGTCTTCTCCCCTTTTTAAAGCCAAACAAGATGGCGGCTGTCACTACATGTTGTGAGAGCAAATTCACTGCGCGAAGGAATACTTTCTTTTGTCTGTCCTGAATTTCCCACTATTCGGCGACATTGGAAGGCCCCAGGAGAAACTCCTCCCTATCCACTTTCCTCACGCCATGCATAAATTTATACACCTCTATCGAGTTTTCCCTTTTCTAAACTAAAACGCCCCCAAGCAAAGTAAACCTTCCTCAGAGGGAAGGGCCCTTGACCATTTGGGTTGCTCCTTTCAGGACTTTTCATAGCTCTGTACCATCCTTTCCGAGGTTCTGGCAACCAGAACTATAAGTGGTATTCTAAGTAAGGTCACACCATGGACGCTTATAAAGGCATTGTGATATTGTCAGTTTTATTTTCAGTCCATCCCCTAATGATCACCCAGCATGGGTTCTTCTTTCCACAGCTGCCACGCCACAGGCTGATGTTTTAATTGACTTATCTCCACCATGACCCTAAATATCTATTTCCTGCTCAGCCACATATCTAAAGGAGTAATGCAGCCTTCTTAGGAACACACAGGAAACTTTCTCACTTAGTCCCATTTCATTCTGAAGAGCAACTCTGATTGAAAGTAGGAAATCTGGGCCTCCTGTTTTTAAGCGATCAACAGGAAGCAGATAAAGATATTCCGCTGGAGGAAACCTGACAGAAGCAGTGAATTGCAAGGATTTGAAAGTGGATGGAGGAATCATTACTGCTAGGCTTTTCTGTTTAATCACTCAGTCAGTTTTCATTGAAAGATGCTTCCATTTTGGCAAAGGTTTTTCCCACAAGGGAGATACTGAGAAAACACTGAGGTTTGGAGGACCACCAGCCATCAGTCTTCACTCTATATTCGCAAAACTCTCTCAATTTTCTCTACTTGGACGGCAGCTTTAAAGTGCGGTTCTTTGCAGGGTGTGTGCTTGTGTGCCTACGCTGGATCATACGGATGCCACGTTTTCACTGGCACTTTTTCTACGTGCTTAGTGCCAGAAAACAACAGGAACGTCACCTTATCTTTAAGATTTCGTTCATCGTCAACCAGAGTAATATTTTAAACTGCTTTTGTTCATTTCAAAAGGTGCTGCCCCAGCTGCACCTCCAAACAAGCTGAAAAATTCACATTAACTCCTCCTTTGAGAATAGATCCTGCCGTGGCCAGTTCTGTATCCCAGTTATCATCTTTTCAGCAGATCCCCACGTAGTTGCTTCCAGCTGTATGGCCCCTTTTCTACTGTGGTACATCCTCTCTGCAATTTGCTCTCCAGGGAAGGTCATCATCTCGGTTAGCACTAGATAATGACCAGACATTTCAGTACCTGAGGCAAAGCTTCCCCTGCCACCCCCATGATGGGGGTGGGGAGACTCTGCAAGGGCTTCTCCTGCCTCCCTGTCATGTTATGGGGAGAAAGCTTTGGACAGCTTCTCCAAGCCTCGCTACTCTTCTGGGCTGAGGGAAGCTCCCTTCCCACCCAGTGGCGAAGCTGGGGAGGGAGACCTCGCCTCCCGCCGACTCGGCAAGAAGAGACTCGTTACACAGAGCTTTGCCACTGGTCCCACCAGTGTGGAAGACCAGCAACAAAGCTGGGCAGTGGAATGCTCTGCAGCTGCTACAGCTTCCCTTACCTGGGGTGCCACCGCTTCCATTCCACCGCCTGAGGCAGCTGCTTCACCCTGCATATTCTAGTTGGGCAAAAACATTTGGAGTGCAAGGAAGAGCCAGTGGTGAGTGTGGCCTAGAGAGAGTTCTGAGGGCCATGGGGGAGGCATTTGGGTGCCAGACATGAGGTTCCCTAGCCTTGCTTCACAGGGTGGATAACCAGTTCACTATAAAACAATCTGAAGTGTGTGAGTGCAGAAGAGAACTACGTGCAAAGTTCAAAGCCTTTACAGCCCATAATGAGTCCCAAAACTGAAAGTGGAGGCAAGGAGAAGAATGTCAGACGACAATACCGTCTGTCTACCATTAGTGACAGCAGGGACACGGGTGGCGCTGTAGGTTAAACCACAGAGCCTAGGACTTGCTGATCAGAAGGTCAGCGGTTCGAATCCCCATGACGGGGTGCGCTCCCGTTGCTCGGTCCCTGCTCCTGCCAACCTAGCAGTTCAAAAGCACGTCAAAGTGCAAGTAGATAAATAGGTACCGCTCCAGCAGGAAGGTAAACGGCATTTCTGTGCGCTGCTCTGGTTCGCCAGAAGCGGCTTAGTCATGCTGGCCACATGACCCGGAAGCTGTACGCCGGCTCCCTTGGCCAATAAAGCGAGATGAGCGTCGCAACCCGAGAGTCTGTCACGACTGGACCTAATGGTCAGGGGTCCCTTTACCTTTACCATTAGTGATCAAAGGAAGGAGCTATGAGGATCACTAGCTAAACAAGGCTTATAAAAGTGTTCAGGTCAGGTTTGTCCTCTGGTCTAAGTGCAAAAGAAAGAGAATTCATCCTGGCTTGCTGGTGGTCCCTGCCATAAAAATTAATCCACCTTGGCCTTTACCTCAGCTGCTCAAGCTCACCTTGCCAAACTCGGCAGCAGATGGTAGACAAGCTACTTTTTCAACTGAACGGGGACTTGGCTCATGAGAAAGACGATTTCCATGAAGGAAACTGCAGGCAGCACTCCGCTGCACATGCAATTCTCTCTTGTGTACACATGCCTCTTCTTTGAATGTGGGCCACAGTTAATTTGTCTCTTCCTTCAATTTCATGTTCCAGAAAAGCAGGGTTAGAAGTCCTCCTGGAGGAAGTTCCCAAGAAACATCAAAATCTATGGTGTGGGGGGGGGGGGGGAACCATTCATTTCCATACACACATACCATTTTTAAAAACGTGCAGCAACGTAGCAAGACTAGACACTGGTCATTGACAAAAGGAAACATGAAAGTCACCTCAGTCTGTACTAAAGCTGGTAGGTGAATATAAAAACCCTATAAAAACACTGGCAGTGAGCATGAAATGGAATCTGCCCTGTTATCAACTATGCTCACTTAGCAGTTCCTTCGCTCTTCACAAAGGCAGTCCAAATCTGTTGTTCAAAGAAAAGCCTGCTTGACAGCTAAACTGCGCTGTCATTCTATGCAAACTGACAACTTAAAGTTGAAATATTGGAGAAAAGCAGAAGATGAGACAGTGCTTTTCATTCTGTTTTATACTATTTATCTATTTGTACATTTACACTGACCTTGATGAAGGATTTTTTCCACACACACAAAAAACCCACGGTGGGATTGTGATAAACAATATTTTGTAGTGCCTCGATTTCCCCCTCCACCCCAGGCACTTTTAAGATGCAACACACCTACCTCAAAACATGTAGACCCTAGTGATGCAGTTCAGAGAAAAGCTTTGTTGCTTGATTTTGCATAATATATAAATTGGCCCTAAGGCAAGCTAATGAAAAGAAAGAACAACTTCTGACGTGCTCCAATTGCACCCATGCTCCAATGTTCATCTATGGAGTTTTATGAGGATCAATCATGCATATCCACGCCAAGGTTTATCCAGGGCCTGTAATATTCTCAGCACAAATACTCTTTGGGTAAATTTCGGTATGCAAATGATTTGGTCTCCTACAAGGTGGTCAATACTATGAACTCTCTTATGAAGCCCTGCTCCTTGAATTCATAAAGAGAAATACGATTGTGGTTATTATAACTGATGGGAAATACCAAAATAGATTTTCCTGCAAGTTCCCACGTAATGTTAGAATATGGACTTCTCCTGAAAAGAGAAGACTTCTCTTTTTAATAGGACTTCTCCTATTAAACTGATGCCATATTTGAACCGGGAGTTAATTTCTCTGCCATTGTTTTCATTAGTGCCTATCTTCAGCCTCTTAGCCAATTACCAAAGATTGGATAGTAGTAATTAAGTGGCCATGCTCAGAAAAAATAGAACTTTTTAAAGCACTGAATAAAAACAGAAGTGAAAGAACAAACTACAATGTACAGTGGTGCCCCGCAAGACGGATGCCTCGCAAGACGAAAAACTCGCTAGACGAAAGAGTTTTCCGTTTTTTGAGTCGTTCCGCAAGACGAATTTCCCTATGGGCTTGCTTCGCAAGACGAAACGTCTTGCGATTTCTTGCGAGTTTGTTTCCTTTTTCTTAAAGCCGCTAAGCCGTTAATAGCCGCTAAGCCGCTAATAGCCGTGCTTCGCAAGACGAAAAAAACGCAAGACGAAGAGACTCGCGGAACGGATTAATTTCGTCTTGCGAGGCACCACTGTACAACTTAAAATAAGAAGGAGCGATACCGAACTGGGTGCAAGAATTGGTGTTGCATGCTACCAAATTGTATCTGCATTGGATTGGATTTTATACAGACAATTGCTGTTTTCGTTAATAGTTTTATATGTAATTGGGGGGGGGTTCCAATACTTTATTTTGAAGTTAAAATAATCCAGTAAGAAATATGAAATAAATAAAAAATAAGAGAAAAAAGTGTAAAAAAAAAACCACTCCAGGGTTCACAGCCATTACTTAGTACACTTTCAAGAGACTACAGTGAATTAGATACTACAGCAAAAATGACCTAATACAGAATAAATACAAAACAAATGTTATGAACACCAAATAAAGGCATGTTTCATCAGAACTTGCCATCCCTGTGACTGAGCTATCACATGACAGTAATAACAAATATAGCTACAAAATGGGAGGCAAAATCCATAGGTTTAGCTGCACTTTGAAATATCCTTAATTTATAAGTTAGTTTCTCAGAATAAACATTACTTTATTGAAACAATTATTTAAAGAAACCTCCTGGATAGTTCACTGGGTTAGAGCGTGGTGCTGGTAACATGAAGGTTGCACGTTCATATAGGCCAGCTGCAGGGGGATGGACTAGATGGTCCTCAGGGTCCCTTCCAACTCAACAATTCTATGAAAAACCTGAGGACCTTGTCCTAGCACGTTAAAACATTAGGCATTGCCCTAGTCACCACTGTCAAGATGTGTCACTGTACAGTGGTGCCTCGCAAGACGAAATTAATCCGTTCCGCGAGAGTCTTCGTCTAGCGGTTTTTTCGTCTTGCGAAGCAAGCCCATTGACGGATTAGCGCTATTAGCGCTATTAGCGGTTTAGCGGCTATTAAAGGCTTAAAGGCTTAGGGGATTAGCTGCTAAAAGGCTATTAAAGGCTATTAAAGGCTTAGCAGATTAGATAAAGGGGGGGGGAAGCGAAAAAAAAATCTCAAGACTCGCAAGACATTTTCGTCTTGCGAAGCAAGCCCATAGGGGAATTCGTCCTGCGAAGCAACTCCAAAACGGAAAACCCTTTCGTCTAGCGGTTTTTCCGTCTTGCGAGGCATTCGTCTTGCGGGGCACCACTGTAAAGGGGGGAAAGGGTCATTTCTACCATGTCAATGTATCAATGGCTGCATATCCACCATATATTGAAGTAAATTACTTCCCCCAATGAATCCTGGAAACAGTAGTTTGTTAAGGGTGCTGGGAGTTGTAGTTCTGTGACTGGTAAACTACAGTTCCCAGATTTCTTTGAGGCCCGTCTTATGCTTTAAATCAGGGGTCAGCAAACTTTTTCAGCAGGGGGCCGGTCCACTGTCCCTCAGACCTTGTGGGGGGCCAGACTATATGGGGGGGGGGGAATGAACGAATTCCTTTGCCCCACAAATAACCCAGAGATGCATTTCAAATAAAAGGACACATTCTACTCATGTAAAAACACGCTGATTCCCGAACCGTCCGCGGGCCGGATTGAGAAGGAGGTTGGGCCGCATCCGGCCCCCGGGCCTTAGTTTGCCTACCCATGCCTTAAATGTATGGAGCTTGTGTAGCAGGAAATTAGCGTTACATTTCAAAAATGCTTTAAATTGGGGGGGGGGAGGTACTTACAATATTTGTACTGATAAGAAGGAGGCAAATCTGCTAGAGAAATCCTTTCTTACAAAATGTTCAGAGCCACAATGCCACCCGTATTTCTTAATTCAGAATGCCATGACACAGAACTACAACCAGCAAGTAGAAAGAGGCATGCCAGTGCTGTTGAATGACTTATCTTTTAAAAAACCGAATGGATTATCATGGTTACGCTGTAATGATGAGGCAAACAAAAGAAATTTCATTTCCCATCAAGCAATATTCTCATATGCATTTGCTTCAGTGACTTTAAATAAGGGATTTGTTTTATTTGCTGATTGATTAAGTTGTTAAATCATGAATGTTTTTTTGTCTTCCCATGTAATTATATCTGGAGATTCCAAGCATTATCAGTCTCTTTCAGATTTGTACAGCATGACTTACTGGCTTCCAGCAGGTTGCAAAAAACTCACGGGGCCTGGGGGGGATGCATTTGTTTATAAAGTGCATTTATTTCTATACCCCACCCTTTCTCTAAGACAGGAGTGCAGGGTGGCTTACAATCAGAAGATGCAGTATAGAACAGAAGGTAAAAAAATATACAATAAAAAAATGGCTAAAATAATAATTTTAAAAATACATTAAACACAAATTTTAGTGGTAGAAAAGACAGCCATACCATTCCTCACTGCTATGATACAACAACCATGTCCGAGGGGGCAGTTTTAGGACTTAAGTCATACGTGTCTTTTCCACACCTACACTGCTCTCCTTTTCTAATATTAGGGTGTGAGCTGTTCATAAACAGAATCATAGAACCCCCCCCCCCCGATAGGACCCCGGGAGTCATCTAGTCCAACCCCCTGCAAAGCACCCATGACAGATGCCCATCCAACCTCTGCTTAAAAACCTCCAAGGAAGGAGAGTCCATAACTTTCTGAGGGAGACTGTTCCGCCTGATGTTTTTCCTGATGTTCAGTCGCAATCTCCTTTCTTGTAACTTGAAGCCATTGGTTGGAAATCATTGACTCATTATGAGAACACATTGTGTTTGGATAGCGGGAACTGTGGGGATTTATATGCCACTTTGCAATAGTGGGCAATGCCCAAAGGGGCCACATCAGCAGTGTACAAATAACAGCTTGGGATCTTGGGGTTTCTCACCATGCTATATGCTTTACACCTCACTCCCTTATCACTGCTAGGGAGATATTGATGAGTATCAATGAAATACCTGCCTCCTCAGAGGAATTTGCAAGGTCTTCCCAGTCACTCAGCCTGTTCCCAACTACTAATATGCAAGCAACATTTTCAGGCTTTAGTCTTTATAATTTCCCTGTATGGATTACTTCCGACGCTTGGAAGATGTTCATGCCTCATTATATAGCTCCCCTTCACTTGAAACACGCTTTTGATATGAAGCGTGTTTGTTGATGAAAAAAGAAAAAGACACCTTTAGAACCAGCTAATCATATTTAGAACAATCCTAAACATATTGACTTAGAAGCAAATCCCATTGAAGGGGAAAGACGTAGAGAGAGGGGGTTCTTATTGTCAGCTTAAAGGACAAGCATGATTCTGACAAGGAGAGGAAGACTGCTTTTCAGCAATGGATTTTTGCATGGCATTGCAAGAGAGCGTTGTCTAGCAGAGCAAAGCAGATAAGAGGCCGAAAGGACGCGCAGAATGCACCGGGGCCATGTGTACGTCTCGCTTCCCAGTAGGCAGGCTGCTCAAAGCACAATGGGCTGCTTCACATACAATACAGAAGGGTCCATTGTCTCTCCCATATTACCATGTCGATGGAACATTCCTCTGCAAGACACAGATGCCTCAGCAACAAAACTGCAGCTTTTATCAAAGCCGAACATCTTCTGACCATGCGCTTGAGTGCAAACCGACTGGCATGCACTTCCTCGAGTTAAAACTGGGATTAGAAATAGCCTTTGAATGTGTCATACTGCGCATTTACTCCACTAAAAGAGAAAGGCATTTCTAAGCGTTAGTCAGAGACACAGTCGCAGCAAAGGCTGTTCACTCTAAAAAAAGGGTTCCGGTTGTTATTTTGGGGCTCTTTCTGCAGACGTCTGGTGTGGCTTTTGTGATTTTGGAATGCTATTCAGTTTATCAGTGCAGACGACAGAAAGTTAAAAGGGTCTTTCAGGCTTTTAACGCAGGTGGGTGTGTTCATTTTAAATAAAATTTAAGCAATGTACTAGAAAGCCTTTTGTTTCATTAACATGGGCCTTCCTAGCATACTCCCAAGTGGAGGGGGTTTCATGCAAAGGTGACCTCAAGCTTTTACGGCATGCTTTGTCCTAGGATCCCAAACTGTGAGTTGGGGAATTAATGAGACACCTTCATGGGATACAGTGGTTGTGGTCACAAACACAGGGATTCTGGGAGTAATTCGCTGCTTGAAACCATGCCAACAGCAGGGGAAATGTCTCCTCTCAGAGCCAGAGTAGGAACTTTGCAAGCAACAACTACTACTTAAACTGCTCAGTTGCTGTCTTCAATACAAATCCTAGAGCAGGCAGATGGACATACGGTTGCATGCAAGCTCTATGTCAAATGCACATCACTTGATGTGAAAACACACACACACACACACACACACACACACACCCTGAACTGATGTGGGGTTGTGTGTGAAGGGTGTCCTGTAAGGCAAAATAAAATTACAATTTGAGAAAAAACACAGTGTTATACAACAAAATGTCAACTGATCTCATCACAAGTGTGTCTTGAAGTGTGTGTGTGTGTGTGTGTGTGTGTGTGTGTGTGTGTGTTTCTAGCGTTTCCCCAACTTCTGGTCCTCCAAACCTTCACAGAAATGTGGGTAGGCGTGACAAAATGTGCAACTACTCCTGGTCTGTGGGGCCCCCATGAAGTGTGAAGCACATAATCTTTAATCGGGCAAGCCATTGCTATATTAGCACCAGATGGCATAACACCAAGGGGTCTTTGCCGATGATTTTACCTCATGAAGGATTTAAATATCACTGCGACGGTTGAGAGGTAATTCAAAAACACGTCTTAGAATTACTGCTTCTGATGCATTTAACATCCTATGAGACAGCTCCAATTAGAAACATCAATTAGACGCATTTATATGTGCTATTAGTATATGTGCTCCGCACTAAATAAAAAAGCAGCAGCTATTTTTACCAGGATGATTGCCACATAGGCATCTTCACAATTTAACCAAATGTATGGAACAGAATTAGCACAAGATTCTTATGCTCCCCTTCGGCAAGGAATAAAGTTAAATATTCTTGTCAACGTACACCTTCAGATTAAAATAAGAGAGCAATAACACACTCGAGACTTTTAATAACCTAATAAAATGTGATCCTACATCTTTACTACAAATAAACTAGCACTGAACAGTCTTGCGGTGGGGATCTCCAACCCTTTTTGGTCCTGGGGGCACG